TTTTTACAGTAATTGCAGGTCTTGCCTATTGCTGGGCAAGATGTGCTATGAGGGTAATTTCCTCCACATCTGAGACATGTTTTTTGTGAAGACGGTAATCGTTGTGCTTTGTCTGAAAAATGTCGATTTCTTGGCGGTACGTGTTCTTTGTCGGCTGGTTTCGTAGTGGCATACTGTCTTGTGTCTGGTTTTCGCTGAGGTCTTGAGGTGTTCTTAACCGTGTTTACGGCTTCGTCTTCGATAGTTGCTGCTTGTAAATCTGCTATTTCGAGTGATCGGCCCATTTCAAGAATTTCTTTTAGTGTTTTGTCGGGTTCTCTGAGGGCTCTCTTTCGTAACCTAGACGATTTACAATGTTGAATTACTTGAGACAGAATTTCGGAATCTGTGTTCACAAAATTGCAGTTCTTCGCTAATGTACGTAGTTCAGTGACAAAATCATCTAGTGACTGGTTTACTTTCTGTTTGCAATTTCTGAAATTGAAGATTTCCATTTGGACGTTTCGCTTTGGCTCAAAGTAGGACGTGAGGACACCTTTGGTCGCTTCGTAAGTATCTCYGGAGTCGCCTTTCTCCGCTTCGTAAATGTCGTATACYGCATCGCCTACGTAGTGAAGWAGTAATGCACGTTTTCGCTTGTCGTCTTTCAAATTCAAGCCAATGAATAGATTTTCAAGYTTTGCGATCCACTTTTGCCATCGTGGTCCAGCGTTGGACTTGTCAATGTGGTAGTCGAATGGCGGGAACGGTGTAATATTGAGCATTTCGTCGACATAAACTCGCTTCTGAGTTGATAATTATTTCCTTAATGTAGTCGTGAACAAATTCTTGATTGATTTTCCTCGTCGCCAATGTAGAATACTGAATAAACGTAGAACAAACCAGAACAGTCTCTCGTTCGGTGTCTTTATTAACTAAACCTTGTGTAGTTTCATTACCATAATAATCTACATTAATTAGCATAATTTATGCAGGTCACTACATTACTCACCTTATTTCTTTGCATTACAGGTTTTTACATCACTTCAAAAGAGGTGAATGATATGGTSCTTCTGCGACAGGTACGGACACAGTTGTTATAAGACAACATTATCAAACTCATATTCATGAACGTTTTCTAGTAAGTCAGTCACCGGCTGAGGCTAAGTTACCGTTAAGTTACACCTGCGTTCCTGCATTAATAGAACAAATACTTATTTTGACATAATTTTGATTAGATATAAAATATGACATCTATTTCGTATATACATCACGTTTCTGTTAGCCGTTTTACGTCTCATAGGATTCCAATACATTTATCTCGAATATAACTACTTTGATTACTAGTATTTTATAGTTTTTCTACACTGTCTTCCTTAGAGTTATGTAACTTAACTTAGCCAAAGTCTAGTTATAGCTTGTGACTCTTTAGTTGTCACTTCCATCTAATCTCTTTTATTAATTTCGAATATTCCACTAAGCTGTCGGGTAAGAACCATAAGTTTGACAAAGCGAGACTGCAAGACACCTTATTTCAGTTTCCACTTTATCACCTAGGATATTCCCACATGGTTTATATCGCTGTAACATTGCACCAATTTCAGATAGACTCCTCCCTTGTAACCTTATACCTCAATGTATACCCACAAACGCCCATCGTTAGTTTAAAGCCTTGTAGCATCGTATATTCTAAGTATCTTTATAATATAACTTGATAGAAAGTTAGTTCTCTATTCGCATAGCATTATCGCTCTCAGCCTCGTCCTAACATCTTATTTAGTAAATAAAAAAACAGCGAAGATTTGAATTATTGACGCATATCACATTTACTATGGACATGTTAGCGCTTGAAATTTTGAAGATACGATATGCACTGAATAATTAGGACATTAAAGTTTCAAACGGCGCTTTGCAAAAATAAGTCATCGATTTCAAATATTCTGTGCATATAAGTAATACATGCCGATAGAATGATTGCTTCATATGTATAGGATAATGAATGAGCTCCTAAATAGGCTGAAAGCCATTTTTGTTAATAATTTAATATTTTTTTTTACAATAATGTTTGATTCTGCATTGATTTCACGGTGAGCCAGGGAGTTGACCATGAGAGATATCTTCTCTTTCGTAAATCAACATATGCGATGGCTTAATGCATGAACTAATCAGGCCAAGGAATACTCCATTCAAATTAAGGCTGCTTCTTTAAAGGTCTGACTAGCAATTTTTATACTTATTCACGTAATATAAGTCAAATATCTAATGAATAAAAAGCTTATGATCATCGCCATCGTATGAAGAATAAATGAAACCACATTGATCCATTACGGCTTTCTAGTGTGTATAACAAGAGATACCGTCACTCTGGTATAATTAGGTAAAAAGTAAATGCTATCTCAGATCTTTGAAAAACGGAAGCTCGATCGGTATAAAGATTTTGGCATTAATGATTTCAGTAGATTTTCACAAAATCATTATGATCAAATTATAATACAAAACTGGACTAGCTCTTCAAAATTTGCTTTTATTACTATCAATATGAACTTCACACGGTGAACGCATTTTTTTACCAAAATTCTAGAAATTCCAACAGTTTTTAATCATATATTAAAATATTCATTCTTAAATTTATTTCAGCAGATCTAAATGGTCTTAACTGATAACAACTTTTTCACCTTTCTCACATAAGAGCTACATCGATATTCTCATTAATATACACCTACTAATTTARTCCTCTTCCTAAAAGAATGCTGACAGTTCTTCCTTCCACTCGGAACTTTCGCGGAATTTCCTTCTAGCTGTGTTAGGTGATAGGGCTCTTCTTTGAGTACCAGTGCCGACTTGAGTATTACAGCCTGAAATGCTCGAAGCACTTCGAGTCATAATTGAAGAAGACCTCAGTTGCGATAATGCTCCTATAAATTTGGTATTTGCGTTTTTAAAACTTTCTAGCTCTCTCCATTGCGATGCTATACGTTTGTCTCTGGCTTTCAGTTCCTTTTCAAACTGATGCTTCATTTCATTAAATTCATGGTTTTGTTGCTCTAGAACACTATCGCGAGCATTGAGCTGTTCTTCTAAATCATCTATTACTCGGTCTTTGGATTCCAAGATTTCTTGAATTTGCTTCTGCTCCTTTAGAAAACTGCTCTCTAACGATAACAACTTGGAGCTAATTTCCTTGATTTCATTGTCGTATTGCTCTTGCAACAAGAAAATATCTCGTTCTGCATTACTAAACGCAAGACTTAGGTCYATGCTTTTTGTCTTTTCTAGTTTCAGTTCACTTCTTACTTGAAGAAGATCTTGGTGGAGTCTGTTCAGCTCCTCCTTTAAAATTGTTATTGTTTTTTCTAGCTGAAATAAAATAGAATTAACCAATGAATATTGATAAATTCAATATTTTTGAGTGAAGGTTCTTATTGTAAAACGTGATATCAAAATACTATGCTCGAGCAGATGTATGTTATTGCGGCCTTGGCAGCGCAACTTTAGTGCCCGCGGGACCACTGTGATAAGTCTCCCCACACTGTAGCCAACGGCACCGCTAATTCTCTCATTCAGACTTACATTTTGAGGCTGCTGTAAGGTGAGCGACTATTTATAGTACGATTTGTATAGAGAAAGTACCACCAACGAAAATAGTGAACATTGCCGAGTGAATGAATGCGCCCAAAGTCGATAATGCGGTGATTGGGATCATTAATATGGTACAGATCAACTTTGTCATGCCTTGTATGGAGGCTTTGTCTTTAGCACACCGGAATTCAAACACTAAAACCATCAAAAACTTTGGGGACCTGTCATATATTAGAGCAATCTCGAGCCCAGAGTCTGACGCATACCGCTGACAAAGACTCTGGAGGAATCGACTGGATTTGCGACGCTTTACCGTCGCAAATTATGCAAATTAGGTCAGTTTTTGTTTTGCCGCTTTAGAGCACCAAAATGATAAAAAAGAAGGAGGTTTAGCACACAACTTAGTTAAGAAAAGGTATTTACACCTTTTTAAAAACAAAAATATGTGAAAATATGTGAGGTTATGAGAGAAAAATATGATATTTTTGACCAAACAGGCGAGCGCGCGCTGGCGACTTGAACAACCGACTTGAAAACAATGCGCGCTCGGGTCATTTTCAACCAATCAGAAATCGAGAAAAAATTGATTCCTCCCGAGTCTCTCACGCATTTTGTTTATAATCGATTATAAGTTGTTTAATACATCATTAATATCCGTTGAAAGAACATATTATAATGATTTTTTGATCGTTGAAAAGATCTCAAAGTGTGATTGCTCTAACATTCAAGGATCATAAATTACAGGTATATGAAATTGCAAAGGCTTTATAAATGAAAATCAGTATTGAGGCCATACCAACCTGCCGAGGGCTGTATATAGCGTAATGCCGACGCGCGAGGTAACTAACAAACTTTTAGTTTCCAATTCACTAGGTTTTCTTTGTTAWTCATAGGGTTGTATATACAATAGAAACGTAAAGCAGGGGAGGGATTTGATATTCAGCAGGGAAATGTGGGGTTGATGAATTGAATTGAATAGCTCGTTATAAATTCAGCGGGCTATATATGAGTTGACCGGGATCACTCATATATAACCCGCTGAATTTATAACGAGTTGTTCAGTTCAATTCATCAACCCCACATTTCCYTGCTGAACATCAAATAAACTAAGTAAACTAAACTCTTTTTCACCTAAAAAAGACCAGTGCGGCCAGCAAAACTTGAGGAGAATTAGAGTGTAATAAGTTCGAGTCCCGCAGCTTTTCTTCATATGTTCAACAGAGAATAGAGACAACAATAACCAAGATCTTCGTTACTTTTGAAAGAATCTATTCTTCGGAACTAACCAACGTGTATGAATCAGAAGTAATCGGTGTGACTTGTATTTCTCAGACAGACTTTGTCATCGTTATTTGCGGGCAAAACGCATGCGGAACTTCAAATCCGAGAGAAAATCGTCAATATCAAAGTTCGGCAAAGGAATGATGTCAAACGTATTTTGAGCTATAAACAAATCGTCACTGTTCGACATCGTTTCCAGAATGACTGTTAAGAATATTTGATAACAATATTCAAATTGCGATTGCTCGCTTTCGCATGAACAGGTTTTCTTAAAGGAAACTAATTTMAACAGTCCATGACAAAGTCTCAAGAGAAGAGGATTCTATTGTTCGAATCCCAACTAAGAAAACATTCATTTAGTCATTCAGTTTTTGCGAAAACCACGTGAATTGAAAACTTGCGGCTTATTCACCTATTTGGCACTTATGATCACTATGGGTTGAATGAACGCTTTCTTTTCAGATAAGTTTTATATAAGGGCGTAGCAGTAGAATTTGATAGTTTTATATCCTTTGTTCCCTTTTTAGCACCTTTATGGTTTCATTTGTCTAACACTTCCATTGCTTTTTTTGTTTATTTCACGTTACCTTGCCTATCCTATTGGTCTATTCTCTTTGTTACTCTTACTATATAAACTCACACTATACCTAGTTCCATCTCTTTACTCCGACGAAGGATTAACGTCCGAAACGTCAGTAAGTCATTTCACCTACTTTTCTTACGATGTTAAATTTATCTTTTTGAACAACTGTTTCTTTAGAAACACCGACGCAGCTCACACTAGTTTACCGCTAGTTCCCACCAATAACATTATAGCCCTGTTACAAAAAAASGCCGATTAACGGAAACGTCTCGCAGCCCCTCGGCTCGACAACATAKTAAGGAAAAGAATAAAAGACAAGCCTCTGGAACCAGGGTATACTTTTACAGCGCTGCGTGTAACATAGAAAGTTGCTACACATCCCCTTTACAACGAGGAATGCCAAAAATTGGACGAGGCCGTCCAATTTGCCAGTCAGAGAATTTTTTTAGGTCTATTTTTTGTCTTAATTGTTTAGTATGAACAGAGTTCTACTAACTCTGGTATGAAGTCGTATATATTAATTACATAATAAAGTATTTCAAACGTAGAGAATATTCCTATTCTTAAACTGTTCTTCTCTTTTTGCCCTCTCTTTTGTCTTACTTTCATTTATGGTTGAGAAGTGTAGGGAGAATACATCGATCAATTATCAATTGAAAGTTATGTATTTGTAAGTTTCGTGCCACTAATTAACTCTAAAATATCTTATTAGCTTCTCAGTTATTGGTTAGATCCAGTACCTTAATTTATTCTATTAAATCTGTCTTATTCAGTTCAATTGCTTGTATGTAGATCATGATAGGTACGAAATAAAGTTTGTTGTTGTTGTTGTTGTTGTTGAAAGGAAACAACAATAATTCTTTGCTAATCCATTTTCGAGTTCAAAGTGAATAACCGCTGTTTTATTTGACAGCAGATTCTCTTACGTAAAGGAACAAACTCCTAACCCAACGAGTGTTGGCCTGTGCGTCAAATTCACAAAACAAAGCCTGCACGTATTAAGACAAGTACAAGTAAGCATTTAAATTAGGCGAAGCAGCCTTGCAGAAAGACCAAAACATAAGATTGGTTTGTAATGAAGGGTTTTTGTACGACATAGCTTGGAATTATTAAATAAARATGCTTTGAATTATAAAAATATCTTCTAGCCTTCAGGAATTTTCAATCTTTGAGAACTTCATATCATTAGCGTTCCTGCTATAAATAATTGATGAATGTAAGCCATGAAGAAACTATAAGCATTCCCTATATTACATTCAGGGTCATGCATCTACATTCATATTTGTGCTTCCCAAGCATAAACGAACTGTTCACTAAGCTAAATAACGAAAAATTATTAGTATTTCAAGAATAGCGTTCAGTTTTATTCGGATTTTGAATATCTAAAACATTGCTAGACGAGAACAAACACGAGGAAAATTATCTATCGCTTTGACCTTCTTGTGTGGATTTCTTTCAGACCAAATTCGAATCTATGTATTTTACCTGAGGTTTCTTGAGAAGTTTTGGACTCTTGACGGCCTTAGAACTCATTTTAAGCCAAGAATATCAGTTCTGGTTGAGCTATGAACGACTTAATTAGAGCTAGCAACCGAGCGAAGTATTTATGATGCAATGGAATGAGTCGAATTTTGACTTATCGTATTACAGGAATTACAAAAAGTTAATGATTAAAGTTGTGTTATAAATAACGACGAAGCAAACTTACCTCTTTCTTCCCCATGGCTTGTCCTCCAAACTCTCGATAACACAAATGTCTCGCTCGAAGCCTGCGTACTTTGTTGAGTACTGAAGCAAGACTGACGGACAATAATTAAGGTTTGTTTAATCGAAAGAAGACTCAATCAATATAATTTAAGGTACTTGAGCACAAACGTTACTCTATTGTTTTGCTGACGCTAATCTCAGAAATGTTTGATTACAATACCAATGTTGTTTGTCGAGATTTACATGATAATAAAATGACTCGAGTCTTCATCACTGTAGAATATCAATTGTTACCAAGCAAACTTCTGCATTGTTCTCCTAAACATCTCAAAATGTTGTCCAGAGATGAGCTATATGCTTGGTGTTATACTGTCACTCAGGCTGGATGAACATAAAGACTGTCAGCATTTACTAACCCAAACACTTGACGATCAGTTGGTGTAAGCCGGAATGATAATTATGATAATTATTCCATAAAAAATTATTTGAAGTTCGGTGCAATTCATTTCATTCAATCCATTTCTGGATAGTTTTACCTTTTAATTTTTATTCCTTATTTACGTTTTCCTTATCTTTTTTGTGATTTTCTTTTCTTTATTTTTACCTGACTTTACTTGTGCTAGGCTCTGTGTTGTTTTGTCGTATTTTTTTTATTGTTTTATTTAGCGTCATAAAATAATTAGAAAACCTTTTAAATCGAAGATGCCACATCATTAGAACTAAGAAAGGTTAGCTAGGGAGAGCAACACATTTTATGTAATGATAATGCTTCCAGTCAAGCTGTTTTAGAATGGTGCAGTTATTGGTAGAGGAATGGATGCAACCGGAGCGCTTGGCAGGAAATGTTAGTCCTACCCAACGAAAACAAAAACGATCTATGAACGGTTCGAAATAATCATGGTTTACCATTCTCCTCTAGAGAACTGTTTTAAATATGGTTAGTGGGCATAATTGTATGTGATTCAAGTTGACCAAAATTGATGTCACAAGTTTAAAATATGGTGACTCYATTTTTCTGACAAACAGGCGTATTAGATGCTCCGATGACCAGTACTTTAGATCTTGTAGCTAAAGTATTCTATAATGCTCGTGAATTTAAAGTCAATCATAGCTGGGGGTGAGGGGATGGATTTGCTACCACCGCAATACAAATGTTAACAAAAGCTGCATGGATTGCAATTAATTAATATCTAAATCAGATTGTTGTCTCATACTAATAATTCAGTTTTCGTTATTAGCCTTGAGTTTTACCTTTTAGCCAATCAATCTATCTATCTGTGCATTTTGTCGCGTTTGGACCACCGGAAGTTAAGAATTTAATAATTAACTAKTGGGTTGGCTGTGTTATTATATGACCAGAAGCTCAAACGTATTATAGATGTACGAATTTCGTTAGTAAATGTTAGATGCTACTTGCGCTTTTATGTTATAAAAACACTATTCGTTTACAAATATGGTATCTGTGATCTCATCGGAATGTATCTGTCTAGCCATCAGAAGTACACGCATGTGCGGATCGCATGGAGCTTAGATTTCTATCGTTTTGAAGTCGTTGCAGAGAGCAGTCAAAAAGAATATCGTATCGTGTAAATAAACGGTAACGCATTCTTGCTTTTACTATGTATTAGAAGTAAAAAAATATAATATTCTACGCCATAATATACATTCAAAAATAGCTAGTCCGACTTCACGCTCCAAAGAGCGTCTAGTTTAGCTTAGTGAACAGTTCGTTTATGCTTGGGAAGTAGAAATATGAATGTAGATGCATRACYCTGAATGTAATATAGGGAATGCTTATAGTTTCTTCATGGCTTACATTCATCAATTATTTATAGCAGGAGCGCTAATGATATGAAGTTCTCAAAGATCGAAAATTCCTGAAGGCTAGAAGATATTTTTATAATTCAAAGCATTTTATTTAATAATTCCAAGCTATGTCGATTCTTCCTAACCTCAAATAAGTGGGTGTCCTTTTTTAACTTTTTTGTTCAACGATCCTTTGGGGTGCAAGCTCGTGAAGTGTTGGATTTCCCTGCATACTATTCTTTCGATTCTCTTCCTGGTATCTTTGCCTCGATAGGTGGAACCGTTGTACGAGGCCAGGCTTTCTTAACTGATGATTCTGTTTGGGAGAAAAGGCAAATCACTGCATGCGCGACCAAGCTATGCTACAATATCTTGTCTGAGTCCAACGAAGAGCAGCCTCGTTGTGTGGCAAAATTTGACCCTCTTTTTGGGCACTTGTTTGGAAGTCGGTGTGGGGATCCGTCAACATCATGCCAATGGACAGGCCAGTCATCGACGTAAGCTGGAAAATAACACACGGTGTCCTCTATACTTCTGATCGTCTTATTTCCTTTCTGATTTTGTTTTATTATAACTTCGTTGCAATAATTTGACGAAAAAAAAAAAACAAACAAACAAACAAACAAACAAAAAAACATATAACCTGCATATATATGCAGGTTAGATGTTAGAAGAACTTAAAAATATTTTAAAGTTGAGCAATGACAAAATATATACTTGATAAATACTTGAAAAATATATACGTGAAAGAAAGAAAGAAAAAAAGAAAAGAACAATAATTTGAGGTAAAGCATCTTGGATATGAGTTTAGAGAGAATTAACTTTGAAGAAAATTTTTTTATTTTGCATCGTTTATCCAAATGACTTCGTTTTTTCGTCAAATTAACTTATCAACAAGAATTATGGATAATCACTGTTAATTCTGTGAAAATTTGAGTGCAATCGAATCGAAATTTGCGACGCAGTTGGATCGTAATAAATACGCGCAAAGCGCTATTTATTACGATCGAAACACCTTAACACAGCAGACTAATGAATCAAACAAAAAAGAATGTGAGCAAAGAAAGATTGGGGCTTTAAAAATCAAAGCGGTCGCTACGTGTGTGACTACATTAATCTGATTGGCTTGTTTTAAACATGCGCATGCAATTCTCTGTGCAGTATGCTATTGTACTGTACAGTACGTTAGTACGTTCGTACGCAGTAAGCCAGTGCTGTGTATCCTCCATGCAGTATGCTATTGTACTGTACAGTACGTTAGTACGTTCGTACGC